TGATCCCCATTATTGTACATGTTTGGCAGAGTTGCTGTGCACAGCGGATGAGTGTTTGTTGGCGCAGTCACGTGGCGGTTGTGTGCGCTTTCTGTTGGGAATGCGGGAGGGAGGGGGATTGTAGTCTTGGGTAGACTTCTGAGTGGAGAATTGGTCGTCGTCTGTGCTGTTGGTAACGGTGGTATCTGATGACGAGTCTGAATCGTCCGAATCGTCGTTAGGCATGAGGGGCGAATCAGGGTCGGAGTTGTTTTTCATGGTTGAGACGTCAGTCTCATCGGTTGTCGACGATGTCGACATTGGGGACATTGGAGGTTGAGTAAGGTTAGTTAAGTCTTGATATAAGTCTTGTTGCTCAGAAGGTATCTCACATGGGGTGGCGGTGGGACCAGGTCACCCGTCAGATGCTAGATGGTGTGAGTCACCCGTCAGATGCTGGATGTGTGGGTCACCCGTCAGATGCTGGATGGTGTGGGTCACTCATCAGATGCTAGATGGTGTGGGTCACCCATCAGATGCTAGATGGTGTGAGTCACCCACCAGATGCTAGATGGTGTGGGTCACCCATCAGATGCTAGATGGTGTGGGTCACCCATCAGATGCTAGATGGTGTGGACCACCCATCAGATGCTAGATGGTGTGAGTCACCCATCAGATGCGGGATGAGAAGAGCGGCATAAATCTAATAGGTGAGAAACACTAATCCATAATCTTGGGAACTCTGCTGTTCCTTCACCTCTGGATCAACACTCCTACATCAACACGAGAAACTCTACTGTTACACCACTCTGGGTGAGTCAACAGCCTAATTTCACAACTGTATTTCTATACCACGAGGACAGAGCTACTATCTCAGCAATGTATTTAAGAACTGGCCTTGTCCGTTATACACTGTTGCCGATTTCCAGTCGACTGCTACGGGCGGCAGCTGACTGTTACCTACACTGTTAGCTGCTCACCTTCATAAGCATTGTATCCGTCTGATGCTGGACTTCACAATAGGCACGACCATCTGTGACCTTGTTACGCTATCTCCAGCGTCCCATTAATCACCAGTTATTTCTGTGCACTTTGCCATAATATTTGCAGACTCAGAAGATCTTTCTGTTCACATGTGCAACATCTGGGTATCTTTATTGTAGACGTTTCGCCATCCAGTGGCTTTATCAATACAAATTCCAGGACATAACTTGAAGACAGTAGAACTATGTACAGAAGATGAGGTAATCAGTCCCTCAACCTAGCAGTAGGTGCGAAGAGCACCGTAGTCGTGGAGATTCTGAAGCAGAAGCAAGGTGCCTGACGTTACTATATAAGCGTCAGGCACCTTGCTTCTGCTTCAGAATCTCCACGACTACGGTGCTCTTCGCACCTGCTGCTAGGTTGAGGGACTGATTACCTCATCTTCTGTACATAGTTCTCCTGTCTTCAAGTTATGTCCTGGAATTTGTATTGATAAAGCCACTGGATGGCGAAACGTCTACAATAAAGATACCCAGATGTTGCACATGTGTCTCAATTTCATCTTGTCGGTATTGTATACCATTCTCGTACAATCTTTCTGTTCATAGGCTTGTTCAGTTGATTTATTTAATTTTTCATTATTTCCTCTTATTCAATAAATTATTTATCTTATTTTGTTATAATATATTTTTCTATGGTTTCTTCTCATGAGGAGGGAAGGGGGGCCCTTCGAAAGCTCTCTGAGGGCTCGAAGGGCCCCTATACCTTCACAGTACTTCTAAGTGTTGTGAAAGTTCTCTGTATATTCTCGGTCAGCAATTTCACCCGCCTTGAAAGGGGCCGTTGGTGTGCAAGAATGTTCCAGCCTAGAGAGAACAAGCGATTTGAAGAGAATTATCATGGTCTTGGCGTCCCTAGTTTTGAAGGTTCTCATTATCCACTCCATCATTTTCCTACCAGATGTTGTGGATGCATTGTTGTGGGTTTTGAAAGTGAGATTCTCTGACATTGTCATTATCATTAAAAATAATAAGAAGAACATAAGACAGAAGGAGCACTGCAGCAGGCCTACTGGCCTATGCGAGGCAGGTCCAATTCTCCCACCGGCTTAAGCCAATGGTACTACTACTAATAGTAATAACAGTAATAAACATTCTTTGACAACTGTCACTAAATTCTAAACATTAGTCATTCTCCCACGCTTAGTTTCACCTCTATCTATAACTGCATTACTTAACAAAGGTAAATTATGAAAGGTCATTTCCCTTGTTGCAAGACAGTGATCATATCCAATGCATTTATTTTCTCGAAATTGCAAATTTGATTTAGGGTTTTCCAAGTAATATTTGGGATAGTTTAATTTCTTCTAAGTCGCTATGGAAAAGTTAGTTTTAGGCAGTTATTAGAAGTAACTCTAGAAGGCTCTGGGAAAGAGTTTGGATCACAATGGAATGGTCGCGGGTACGATACCCAGGTGGAAGGAGATGTACACGCAAGTTTTGTCTCAGTTACTTGTCCCTATTCACCCTGTTTACCTAGGAGTAAGTAGGTACCTGGGTGTTAGTCGACTGGTGTGGGTGGCATCCTGGGGGATGGTAATATGCCTTGGACAGGGGATGGTAGTATACCTTGGACAGGGGATGGTAATATACCTTGGACAGGGGATGGTAATATACCTTGGACAGGGGATGGTAATATGCCTTGGACAGGGGATGGTAGTATACCTTGGACAGGGGATGGTAATATACCTTGGACAGGGGATGGTAATATGCCTTGGACAGGGGATGGTAGTATACCTTGGACAGGGGATGGTAATATACCTTGGACAGGGGATGGTAGTATACTTTTGACAGGGGATGGTAGTATACCTTGGACAGGGGATGGTAGTATACCTTGGACAGGGGATGGTAGTATACCTTGGGCAGGGGATGGTAGTATACCTTGGACAAGGGATGGTAATATACCTTGGGCAAGGGATGGCAGTATACCTTGGACAAGGGCTGGTAATATACCTTGGACAAGGGATGGTAATATACCTTGGACAAGGGATGGTAATATACCTTGGACAAGGGATGGTAATGTACCTTGGACAAGGAATGGTAATATACCTTGGACAAGGGATGGTAATATACCTTGGACAAGGGATGGTAATATACCTTGGACAAGGGATGGCAGTATACCTTGGACAAGGGCTGGTAATATACCTTGGACAAGGGATGGTAATATACCTTGGACAAGGGATGGTAATATACCTTGGACAAGGGATGGTAATATACCTTGGACAAGGGCTGGTAATATACCTTGGACAAGGGCTGGTAATATACCTTGGACAAGGGATGGTAATATACCTTGGACAAGGGATGGTAATATACCTTGGACAGGGGATGGTAATATACCTTGGACAAGGGATGGTAATATACCTTGGACAAGGGATGGCAGTATACCTTGGACAAGGGCTGGTAATATACCTTGGACAAGGATGGTAATATACCTTGGACAAGGGATGGTAATATACCTTGGACAAGGGTGGTAATATACCTTGGACAAGGGATGGTAATATACCTTGGACAAGGGATGGTAATATACCTTGGACAAGGGATGGTAATGTACCTTGGACAAGGAATGGTAATATACCTTGGACAAGGGATGGTAATATACCTTGGACAAGGGATGGTAATATACCTTGGACAAGGGATGGTAATATACCTTGGACAAGGGATGGCAGTATACCTTGGACAAGGGCTGGTAATATACCTTGGACAAGGGATGGTAATATACCTTGGACAAGGGATGGTAATATACCTTGGACAAGGGATGGTAATATACCTTGGACAAGGGATGGTAATATACCTTGGACAAGGGATGGTAATATACCTTGGACAAGGGATGGTAATATACCTTGGACAAGGGATGGTAATATACCTTGGACAAGGGATGGCAGTATACCTCATACAAGGGATAGCAACACACCTAAGATAAATCTAAGACTCTGAAAGATAAGATAATCTATAATCTAAACTATATCGAAAGAAAGTCAGACTTTTATTCCTCATCTGAGAATATATTACTTCTCACTCGCTATAAAAGATTTATTCGCTTTTATTTAAAGTTGCAAATCTTCTGGAGAAACTATTATAAAAGTCTTAATGTTATTTAGAGGAACATACGTTCGTGTTCTTCCAGGTTTTTATACAATTTCGAAAAAAAAACCTTGTTTATTCATTTCATCTTCACGTGTAATCTCTATCATTTATTTATCACTAATTATGATATCTTGTATAATTCGTCTACTTACGATATCTTGTATAACTCCTCTGTCACTGACTAATTACGATATCTTGTTTAACTCCTCTGTCACTGACTAATTACGATATCTTGTTTAATTCCTCTATCACTGACTAATTACGATATCTTGTTTAACTCCTCTGTCACTGACTAATTACGATATCTTGTATAGCTCGTCTATCACTGACTAATTACGATATCTTGTTTAATTCCTCTATCACTGACTAATTACGATATCTTGTATAGCTCGTCTATCACTGACTAATTACGATATCTTGTTTAATTCCTCTATCACTGACTAATTACGATATCTTGTATAACTCCTCTATCACTGACTAATTACGATATCTTGTTTAATTCCTCTATCACTGACTAATTACGATATCTTGTATAACTCTTCTATCACTGACTAATTACAATATCTCTTATCTCTCTCTTGTCATTGACTAATTACAATATCTCACATCATTCGCCTGTCACTGAGTAATTATGTATAAGTCTGTCTCTTCATCCTTATTTACCATAGCTGATCTTTCTATAGTACGGTCCTGGACCATTTTGTGGACCAGGGATCGAAACATTGTCTAACTTTTATCTCCAATTTATATAATATATATATATATATATATATATATATATATATATATATATATATATATAATATATATATATATATATAATATATATATATATATATATATATATATGCGTCTTGCATATTATATTTAATTATATATATTTTTCTGTTGCAGATAACGCAACAACAGTCAACTGTGAACTGTACATAAGAAGCTTTGGCTCTATTGATCCAAACTCTATG